GTTGCAACCAGAGTCACGGAACGGATTAAGTTCGTATCCCGAGGTACCACTGTATTTATAGAAATTATAGAAAGTCATTATTTTGGTAATGATGGATGTATGTCTAAAAGAGAAAGATAGTGACAATTACTAAAGAATTGCCTTTGCTTCATTATTTTTCAACAACTATAAGGAATGTTGATCTTACAATTTTCTTATTTCAAATGTAAATTAGTACATTTATTTCTGGGTCATCTCCATGCAGAAAATCCCAGGAAACAGACTTTTATATTGTTGATTTCTGAAGTTGCTTATTTCTCATCTACCATTCAATGAAAACAAACAATAAATATGAAAGTTTCAGGATTTTGTCTGGAAGCATGTTGTGTGGATAGTGTTTCTGTGGCAATTTAAAGTAAATGTATGGTCTACGAAAGGGATTTACAACTGAACCAGGCCCCTAAGAATGGGGAAAATGTAGACTGCATAAAATGGGAGGAGAAGGAAGAGTGACAAAATATTTAAAACGGTTTCCATGTTCTAGGTCATGGAACCTAGGTCAAGTGATGTTTTCCATGTTTCATTCTATAAAAATAAAGCTATCAAAGCTTATTTTTGTTCTTCCATATGTTTCTTAAGAAACAGGCTATTTCCCAAGTAAAACTAATTATTTTTCTTCTCCAGGCCTTTTTTGATAGGGATTATATCTCCTCTCATCCTGGAGATGCAGAAAAAATCACACAGTTGAAAGAATTGATGCATGAACAGGTATTCCTGCCCTTTTTTAAAAAAATAAAGAGTACTATAATAAAATTTGATTTCTTTGATATTATCTACAATAATGCAAAGTAGGCTTATTCAAATTACACAAAATACACTAGGTCAGAATATCATACTACATATACATTTATATTATTGTTCATATTCTAAAATATCCATGGACTGTAAGACAAAACAAAAAAAATATAGACATGTGGATTTCGTCTCCACCTGTATAATATAATGTACCAGATGTATAAAACCAATAGAGAGACTTGAAAATAACTGAAAAATAAGGAAGTGGGAAAAATAAACATCTAAAAAGTGCTGTTTGTTAATGTTTATTACCCACTTGCATCTTCTATAGTATGAACAGAAGTGTACACACTTGCAGAACAAGACTTTTTAAGAGGTTATGCTTTAGAACTCACATTTCCTTTTCAAAGAAAAAAGCCCAATGTGCTAGACTGTTTCATGGTTCCTCAAAACAAGCAATTTAGCAAATACCCTTCATCTGTATCTGCATGTCACAGTCTCATCGTTGCTACTAGAAGACCTGTTTCAGGAAGAGTTAGCAGGGAAGCAAATCGATTGTTGCTTAGCTATCATTTACAATTCTGATTGATAAAATCTGGAAATCATATTTAGTAAACATGAATTATTTGACTAACTAGCCACAAATATTTAAATATGTTTTTTTCAGTAAGCATACAATATTGAAAGTATTATACTGTAGTCTCTCTGAAGCTGAATATATAAGCTGTGATTGTAATTTTAATAGGTACATATCCTAGGAATAGGTCTGGCAGTACATGAGAAGTTTGTACATCCTGAGATGCGTCCCCTTCATAAGAAACTAATTGACCAATTTCAGATGATGCGATCTAGTTTGTACCATGTAAGTTCATAACTACTCTTTATTTTTTAAATATAATTTCTACCTTTTTAAAAAACGTTTTCAACTATGACATACCTATAGGAGTTGGACGAAAGCTGATATTTAAAAAGTTGAATACTTACAACTACACGCCATTCCAATCAATTAAAAATAGGGGTGGGAGGAGCTTGGAAAACTTTTGTGGATATATAGGGAGCTTTCAATTAAGCTAAGGATTAAAAGGGATATACATGGGAAATGGAAGATGAGTATAATCACCAAGGAGATGTACAAGCAAGTAGCTAATATCTTCAGAAGAGCTAAAGTGCAAAAAGAAATTTGGCTTACAAGAGAAACTGAAAGCAACCAAAATGGCTTTTTTGATTACAGTATATCAATGGTAATGAAAGGAGATGGACATGCTGCTAGGAGATGGTAGGATGCTAAGCATTCAACAAAGTCTGCCATGAGATTCTAGTACTGTATGGAGAGTGGTGAAATGTGGCCTGAACTATTGTTACCGTTAAATAGATACAGAACTGGTTGAATAAATGTACCCAATAACAGGTTTGCATCAATCTGGAAGGAAGTGTTGAATAGTGTACTGCAGAGTTCTGTTCTAGGCCCTGTGGTGCTCAACTTATTTATAAGCAAGTTTCATAAGGAGTTGAAAAACACGATTATCAAATGTGGGGAGGATTAGCAAACATCTTAGAGGGTAATAGCAAGATTCAGAAAGATTTTGCTAAGCTGGAATAATAGGCAGAAACCAAGAAGATGAATTTCAACAGGGACAAATACATTTGGATAGGAAAAATCAAAATCATGTATACTTGCAGGGGTGGGGAAAACATGGAAAGACATGTTAAATGTCTTTAAGTATCTGAAGCGCTGTCAGGTAGAAGGGAGGGCAGCATTGTTCAGAGCTCAGGCAGAAGTAGAGTTTAGATGGATATCAGGAAAAAAATTCTGATTATAGGAACTGTTCAACAATACAGGTAATCCCCAGTTTAAGAATGAGTTCCGTTCCCAAGGTTTGTCCTTAAGTCGAATTTGTATGTAACTATAAGTAGTATTGTGTAACTTGAACCATTGTGTATTTAACTCGAACTTTTACTACAGTAGGCTCTGTTCTTAATTATGGGTTGTCTGTAATCCGGGCGTTCTTAACCCGTGGACTACCTCTAGTATAGACTGCTTTATGAGGTTGTAAAATCTCCTTAGCTGGAGGACTTTAAACAGAAGCTAAATAGCCATCTGTTGGATGTGCTATAGGATTGATTGATTGATTTGTTTGTTTCTTTGTTCAATTCACATGGCTCCCTAATTGCCATATAATTGACCAGTAGAAGATTCATGCACTAGATTATCCTCCAAGCCCCTTCCAAACCTTATATTGTGTGATTTAATGAATTGTTAAACCCAAAGAAACCTGACACCCAGAAAATTCAGGTGAAATATTTCTTTTTCTTATGATAGGTTAAGCAAATCAAAGAAGGTGAATTTTCAAGAGGGGGAGTGAGTGCTCATCATGTGTAATTCAGTGTTTCTTTACTGAGGATAATTTTAACAGAATACCATTAGAAATTATAATCTAAAGAAAAATCTCAACTTCCTGTTGGAAATGCTTGGTGGGGATGATTTTCAGAGGGAAAATGCCACGGGGGAAAAAGATTAACTAGACTATTTTACTTCATCTACGTACTTTTTCTCTTAAAACGGCAGTCTTAACAATTGGTGCTTTGGTTGTCTTTGTAGATTTTAAATCCCTAAAATATTTTAAGTAACATAAAAAGATGCATTTTTGACTGTATCCAGTATGCTGTATAAAATAGAATAAATATAAATTTGTACTTTTTAATTCTTGGACAGAATGTTTAGTAACACTTGAGATGTATGATGTTATTAATAGAAATCTATTTTGAATACCCCCTTGTCTGGTTAGCCATGGACCTTAACATTTTCCTAAATTAGATACTATTCCAAATGAATGATTTCATATGGTCTTGTTACTGCTTCATTCATATGTTACCAATACTTGTGAATGATAATATATTGTCATTTTCATTTGTCTTGTATTTTTTTGTCCTGTTACTGCTTCATTCATATGTTACCAATACTTGCAAATGACAATATATGGAAGAACTGTTTGGCTGATAGTGAATGAGCTGGTAAACATATTCTAGTTTTCGGTTAATATATAAGATAGAAAATAGAATTATGTCTTTGCATCATTTTGCCTCTTCATTTGTTTCACTGAAATTCAGCACTGAGAAATGACTCTCTGGAGTCATAGATAGTGCAACAGAACTTTTTCAAACTTGTGGTTTAGTGTTCCACTAAACACACATTGTTAACACAGTGTCCTCATGACCTTATTATCTTCATATTGTGGTTCCATGCCAAGAAATATCCAGTTTAAACAGAGCATTGTCAGAGCTATTCCAAGATAGAGAATTTCCATACTTTTTGTCTTTACAGTTGGTCTTCCTGTTACATTTCAGGAGTGAATTTTGTCACCATAACTCCATTTTTTCATTTCTTCATCTTTACTTATTTCATTTCTGTTATCATCCAACATGTAGAGATATTGCTGATACAACGGGGACCGACCATGTTGGTTGTATCCTGTTTTATAAACAATATTTATATTATATTATCCATACACAATTAGCATTTAATGCCCTTTATAGGAATTACCTGCTCTGGAAAAATTGAGTCCAGCCTGCTCAGGAACAAGCACACCACGCAGCAACATGCTTGTATCGCACAGTCCAATGAGTCCAGAGAGCATCAAAGTAATGCACCGCCACAGGTATTATTTTCAACACTTTCTATATCAGAACAGTCTTTATGTATCTGTCTTTTCAGATAATGTCTAAAATTGAATAATTCATGTACCTGCTAGATATAACTAAAAAGTGTCATTAAAGAGATTTGGACTATTCAAAGTTACAAGAAAACAAAGGCCAAATTTTTAAATCAACTTTATTATTGCAGGATTAAATTTCCTATATGAGTTTTTGCAGTCTGAAAGTTCATTATTCCTAATTACATTGGTACCTTGGGTCACGAACGCTTCTGTTCACGACCAATTCGGGTCACGAACAGTTCCATTCGCAAAATTTTGCTTTTGTTCGCGAACGCCAGATTGGGTGACGAACAGGATCCGCAGCCATTTTCCCTCCCGTGACACATGGTCGTGGCTTCCTGTAGGGAGGGGGACTCTCCCTCCAA